GGTGTGAGCCATGGCCCAGCCTGGGGGACCGCAGGAAGCCTGGCCGCCCCGGCACCCAGCAGCAGGGACCTCCATGGCCAAGCTCTCCTCGTGGCAAATAACCCCTGTCAAAACAGGCAGGACAGGGTGTTTTGAACCTGCCACTTTCTGCCAGCTCAGGCACCAGGGATGATTTTCAGGGAAAACGGACGAGAACATCACAAAAGCATCCACACTTTGGGATACAGCACAAACCGCTTCCTAGCAATGGGAGTGAGCAAAAGTGGGACCCGGCCCCTCACTCTTGCTGTTTCCATCGCAGCTCCCGGTCAGGAACCTGGTGCCAGCCAGCATTTGGGCTCCTCGGACTCAGCTCTCACATCCTCGTGTGTGGGTTATCACCCCGTGTCCCCCCGCACGCGTGGCCCTGACCCGGGGCCCCTCCGGCCTCAGCACGTGTGCCAGCAGCTTGTGGGCTCACCCCGTCAGCTGGCTCGGAAATTAGCCTCCATCAAGTTAATTGCCAAACCGCTCAAAGCCTGAAATTAAACATTAAAGCTGTCGCTCGCAGGCGCAGAGCAATCTCCCCCCAGCCCCAGCAAAAGGCAATTCTGGCTGTCCAAACGGAAGGAAGATGGATTCCCCGGCTTGGGGCAGCACTGGGATGGAGCAGCCGGTGACGGTCCCCGCAGGTGCTATGAGACAAGTCCCCAGCACAGCCCGGGACCCCGCTGCTGCCAGGGCTGGGCAAACCCTGAGCTGCAGACAGTCCCTTTCCCAGAGGTTTCTTTGCTCTGGTACTGAAAGGGCTGAATGTGCCTGTGAGAACCTTCCCGGGATAAAGGTTGCTCAAATCCTGGCTCTCCTTGGCTCTTGCAGGGTGGGAACCTCTGAGGGGGACCCTCTGGGGTCTCACAGTGCTGAGGCTGCTGCTGGGGACATCGCCCAGCCCTGGGGGATGCTCCCGCTCCCCAAGAACAGACATAACCCTCTTCCCTCATCTCCTGCTTGGAAAAATATCGCCTGAAACAACAGTGGGGTCTGCCAGGTTGTCTCCAGGATCTGACCAGCTTCTCCTTGGCCTTGCAGTGACGGGCTGCCCCGGAGGGGAAATGCATCCTGAATGGGGCTGAGGCCCCCTGCGCGGGAATATGCAGCCTCGGCACCGCAGGGGCAGCACCAGGGCAGCGGCCGGCGCGCGGCGGCATGGTGGCAACGTTCAAGATCGCCGTGCTGGGAGCCCAGGGCGTGGGCAAGAGTGCCATAGTCAGGCAGTTCCTCTACAACGAGTTCAGCGAGGTCTGTGTGCCCACCACGGCCCGCCGCGTCTACCTGCCCGCTGTCGTCATGAACGGCCACGTCCACGACCTGCAGATCATGGACTTCCCCCCCATCACCGCCTTCCCCGTCAACACCCTGCAGGTAGGGGTGCACCCAGCTCGGTGCGATGGTGCTTCCACACTGGGGGATCTCCAGTGACCTCAGTGGGGTTTCGCTGTGTAACCCCGCGGGGTCCTGGTTTCTCCTCTTCGGGGGATGCTTCTCTCTCCACGTCAGGGTTTGCTTGCTAAAAGTCAGTGCAAGGGATCGCTTCCTCATGGCTACTGGCAGAGCGGGCCCAGGATAAAGTGTCTTTTAAAGCTTTTTCACCTAAAATGACGGCAAACGCGGGAGGGACATCATCCCACTCCAAGGACCATGGCTCTGGAGATGCCCATGGCCCCATCCAGCTGCGTGGTAGATCCCAGAGCCCTGGGGTCGAGTTCCATGGCTGTCAGAGCCAGCGCCAGCAAAGGGCTGGGGAATTGTGGCCAGAGCATTAGGGTGAAAACCTGGGGTTCCTGGAGAGCCAGACCCCCACGCACCCACTGCCTGAGCCAGGCAGAGCGGGGCTGCTCGTCCCCTCCCGGGGTGGCTGTCACCCCCCAGCATTGCCTGGGCTTGTCCCCAGGGTGCTGAGCCCACCGGCTCCTCCTCAAACCCCCAGCGCTCTCAGGTGCTTCCAAAACAGCCCCAAAAAGCAGCGTGGGGTTGGAAAGCATTGCCACCGGTGCCAACCGCTTCCAGGGAGGGTTTAATGGGGAAAAGGGGATTTTAAGCTCATGCTGTAACCCCATCCCAGGGGCACAAGTTATGCCACTGCTGCAGGGAATGGAGCTGGGGGTGCCCAGCCATGGCCACAGCCATGCCAGAGGGCACTGCCACCGGTGGGGGCACCTCTGCGGGAGCTGGACGCTCTTGTATTTTTAATCAATATAATTATATTGCTCCTGTGCCTGATGGGGATGGGATTATAGGGGCCTTGTAGTGCTCCAAGTTTCCCCTGTGCCATTGGGCAGGAGGTGAAGTGAGCGCTCCGGGGGCAAGGAGGAGGTTTAAAAATTAATCAGCGTGTACAGGGAACAAAAGGTCAGCGTGAGAGACAGCCCGAAATAGCAAAGGGTAATTTATTGACACGGCAGCCGACACTAACATACTCGATTAACTCCCTGCCTCTCTGCGCTCAGAGGGAGGTGGCCAGTGGGAACAGATGGAGGTTTCCAGGGAAGAGAGGATGGTCAGAGGGATGGCTCCGAGGGGAAAGGAGAGGAGCATGGTGGGGGATGCGGCTCTGTCTGCTGGGAAGCGTCACTGGGCTCTGCTCCGTGCCCGGGAGCAGCACCCCTGTGGCGATGGCCTGGGAGAGGAGCAGGGGCTGGCAGCTCCCTGGTGTCCTGCTCCTGCGTGGGGCCAGGTGGGATGCGCAACGTGACCCTTCTCCAGCCCCAGGCATCCTGGGAAACCTGCTCCGTGTGGGAAAAACCATCCTGACGTCACGGCGCCAGAGCAAGCTGCACCCCAGCGTGGTGAACTAGCTGCAATTTATTAATCTCCCAGGTGTATCAGGACTCAGAGTAACCTGAGACACTGCCGCTTCATCCGCCCGCGTCTTTCTGATACCACGGAGCTACACATCACCTCCTCCCCGCCGTGGACGGGAGAGGGGCTGTGTCGTGCCGCTCGCTCCCAGCTCCTTCCTGTGCTGTGGCCTGCGACAGAGACCGACCCGCACCACCAAACTTTCCTTTTCCCAATTTCCTTTGGTCCTAGGTCTTCTACATTTTGCCTCATTCCAATGATAAACTCAGAAACGGATGATTCACGGTACTGACGAGGTTTGCTCAGGGAGAAGTGACGCCTTTCCTCCTTGGTGCATCTTTCTCCTCTCCGGTCACGCTCAGGAGGGTTTGTGGTGCTGCCTGCATGGGCTGCCGTTCCCCGGCGTCACTGCAGCCTTGGTACCACTGCTGGGCTGGGGAAGTGGCTGGAAGCAGGGCAGATTTTCACTCTTACAGCATGGAAAAAAATCCTGTTATTCTTGGAAACCCAAATCTTTCCTAACAACATGTATTTCTTACAGCTCCAAATTTTGGCTGTGGAGAGGCCACCCCCACCTGCCTCTGCCCCGGCTCCCAATCTCACTCTTATAGACCCCTCTCCTGAGCAGCCGCTCCTCCTTTTCTGTCCCCCTGTTCCCTCCAAAGAGCCCTGCCGTCACCTTCTCCCTCTGACCCACGGAGCTGCTGGTCCATCACCCCCAGCCCCATGGAGCTGGGGCCAGGCTGAGCCCCACTCAACCCTCAGCATCCTCCTCACCCCCCCTGCCCAAAAACCAGGGTGCATCACTAATGAACACACCTAATTAGCAGCTCTCGAGGGTGAAGCTTTTGCATCCAGGCCAGGGGATTGCATTCAGCCCTGCTCCCAGCAAACCTCCAGACCACTGTGCATTAGGCAGGTGTTAGGCAGGCTGCAGTCCTTGCTCAAGAGAGGAATTGGGGCTGACGGATCCCGTTATCTCTCCTCTGGATTAACGAGGGGGATAAGGGATCTCCGGAGATGCGGGAGAGATTGCTGAAGGGCCACAGGGGGCAGATGCAGCCATCACAGGGACGGGCCAGGGCAGAGCAGAGGTGAGCTGGGTGCTGGGTGTCGGGGCAGGAGAGCGTGCAGCCCCCTTGCTACCTGCTGGCGTAGCAGCCTCCTTGGTGTGCCCGGCCCCAAAGCAGTGCAGGGCATCCCCCGGGCATGGCGATGGGGCTGAGCCAGGATTGATCCCTCTCTGCACCTTGCAGGAGTGGGCGGACGTGTGTTGCAGGGGGCTCCGGAGCGTCCATGCCTACATCCTGGTCTATGACATCTGTTGCTTTGACAGCTTCGAGTACATCAAAACCATCCGCCAGCAGATCCTGGAAACGAGGTAGGGACCACTTCTCTGGCGGGTGCATCCCCCCGCGGCTCCCGGTGGAGCAGTACGGCTCACCCTAGCGATGTCTCTTGACATCAGAGATGAGATATTAGAGACTGGGGTAAAGCCCCTTTGCAGGGCTGGGAGCCTAAAAGCAAAAGCAAAACTGACCCCAAGGGCAGGAGAAGGAGCAGGACCCCAGGCAGCTATCCCCTGCGGGCAAGGGCAGCCATCCCTGGGAAAGCAACCGGGGCTAGCACGTAGGGTGGCTGGCCACGAAGAGGGACAAGGGGACAGGCCAAGAAGAGGCACATCCCTGTTGGCAAGCCAACGCCAAATGCCAGTTTGGGATGGGTTGGGGTCCGCAGGCCGATCCATCACGGTGCTGCGCCCCGTCCCCGTCTGTCCTCCCTCACCACCTGCCCTCCCCAGGGTCATCGGCACTTCGGAGACGCCCATCATCATCGTGGGCAACAAGCGGGACCTGCAGCGGGGCCGGGTGATCCCGCGCTGGAACGTCTCCAACCTGGTGAAGAAGACGTGGAAGTGCGGCTACATCGAGTGCTCGGCCAAGTACAACTGGCACATCCTGCTGCTCTTCAGCGAGCTCCTGAAGAGCGTGGGCTGCGCCCGCTGCAAAC